CACATGATGTCCTTCTCCAAGGGCTGGTACCTCCTGGTCACATGTCCAAAGTATGTGAGACAGAACTTCAAAATCTTAGCCTACAAGGAGAAACTTGGTTTTGTAGATATGGTTTTAACTATTTGATGGCATTTACCACCTATTACTATCAGATATAACAGAAACTGTACGATCAATACACGATAAACCAGACAACTGGTACCTCCTAAAAATCTAATCCTGGTGGACCGCTAAAGACTTCTCCAAGGGAGGAGAAAGAGAGCCTACAGATGGGGATGGTGGTGGAATATTACACAGTGACACATCTGAGAAATCAACTCTAAAATTCACAGAAAACTCCAACACCTCAACATGAAAACAATAACAAAATGGGCAGGTGCCACAAACACAGCACAAAAGAAGACGCAATGGCCAGAAGCACATGACCACGATGATGTACTTGATGATTATCGATTAAACGCAAAACTCGGCACCGGCTCCCAGCTGGCTCTGCAGCACGAGACCGAGTCCACACAGCCCGCTGGAGGAGACACCCCGCTCGTCCCTGCAGATGCTGCTGGGTTTGGACTCCCGGAGACGTGCCCCCTTTGGCTTAGAGGTGCCATTCCCTGGGACCACACCACTCGAGTTCCCATCATAACCTTGTTACAGACCCTGGAAAGGGAACTGACTTAAAGCTGACCCTCCTGCGCGTTTTCAGAGGCTACAAATCACACGGGGGCTGCTCATCCTCCTCCCTCAGAGAAGCTGGTGGATTTGAACTGTGTGCCTTTGGTATTTAGTGCAGCTTGTTACCACCAGGCAACCAGTACTCCTTCTTGTTGTTGCTAAGGGCCGTAGTTGAATAGAACTCACCACAACCCCATGGACAATGACTCAGAACTCTGTCTTTTCTGTGCCACCCTTCTCATCCCTGAGACATTTTCATTTATTTGTTGCCACAGCCATCAGTCTATCTCACTGAGGGCCTTCCTCCTCTTTGCAGAGCCTCCAGTTCTCCAACCACGATGTCTTTTTCCAAGGAATAGCCTCTTCTAACAACATTTCAAAAAATGTTTGAGATGAAGCTTCATCAACCAGAGTTCTTAGAGAGATGTAAATCAGAACAATGACATATCATCTCACCCCAGCAACAATGGCCAAGTTCAACAGGACAGCAAACAACAAATGCTGGTGAGGTTGTGGAGAGCTAAGAACTCCTGTTCACCACTGGTGAGAGTGTAAAATTATACTACTGCTATCAAAAGCATTTTGGTGCTTCCTTAGGTAGTTGGAAATAGAAGGACCATTGAGCGACCCCACTTCTAGATATTGGTTCCAAAGAAATAAGCACAGTGTCTCACACACACACACACACACACACACACACGTGCGCGTTTATAACAGCATTTACCGCAGCAAAGAGTTGGAAACAACTTGTGGCCATCGGAGAACGAACACATAAGGAAACTGGTACGTTCACACCATGGCGTCTTAATATCTTTAAAGGACAGCCAAGAAATCATGAAGCACTGCACAGCACGGATGAATCTAGAACAAATTCTAGTGAGTCACCTACAACCAAGAGACGATAAAATAGATGAACGGGACTTTCTAAGAATAAAATCCCCATGCACATCCAAAAACTTCTTCAACAGGGTAAAAAGGGAAGCCACCGACTGGGGAAAAATATTTGGTAATAACACATCTGATAAGGAATTTATGAAATACTCGAGCAAAAAGATAAAGGCAAACAACCCAACTGAAAAATGGGCACAGGATATGAACAGACACTTCACCGAAGACGACATACAGATGGCTAACAAACACATGAAGAAATGTTCAAAATCCCTAGCTCTAAGAGAGATGCAAATCAAAACAACTATGAGATATCATCTCACCCCAGTAAGAATAGCAAA